TTTTTAGTTCTGAGGGCAGAGAACGTGGTGTCTCAGGTGACCGGGAGGCCACGGTGGCAACTGTCTGCCCAGCACAAAGCACAAGCCAATCCTAACACACCTGCTGCCAAAGCTCGAAGCCAGGACTCAGCTCTCCCTCTCAGGCCCTTGGCTCCTGCTGCCCTCCCACTAGAGCACACAAAGAGAGCCCTGCCCAGGGAGAAGGCACTTAACCCTGGCCAAGGAAACCAGTGGAAAGTTTTATTGCTTGTCTGTCAAGTGAACTTCATTTAAAAAAATAATTTTTTTTTTAAAGAAAATAGTGCTTTTGAAAATAAACTAGGGATTTCTGGGAGGAGATGCAGCCAGCCAAGGAAGGGCCATGATTGGTTGCAGGTGGGAAGCAACCTTCAGGGTTGGAGATGTGGTGGGCAGGGCTGCTAACGCCGGTCCTGCCACAGCATCAGCCCTGGTTTATGATGCCTGGGGGCATGTGCAGATACGTGACTACCTCCGCCCAAATCTTCCACCCTGAACAAGGACCAAACACATCCAACCACGTGAAGGCCATCTGGAACACTCAGTCCAGGTGGTGAAAGCCCGGAGCTAATGAGGCCAAAGTTGTGGTTCGTTCTTAGGAGGGCCAAGGGCACTCGGACAAAGAAAGCACTGTGGCCAGCCACAGCCCGAGCCCTGCCCACCAGCTGTCTCGCAAATCAAACCTGCGGTCACCCAGGAGAGGAAAGGACACACACGGAGGGATGACTCAGTGCAAACTCGCCTCCTTCCAAGAAAAAGGCAGCCAGCAAGTCCTCCTGATGGTGTGGAAGACACAGTCGGAAGATAAGGAAAAATCCACCCACCCGCCCAGGCCAGGCCTGATAAGGAGATGCAGGAAGCGAAGATGAATAATGACTGCTCTTCCTTCACAAGCAGCTTGGGAGTGACCTTCTGACATCCCAAGGCAGATTCTGCCTGCTCCTTCTCCCATGGACCACTGCATCTGGGAAAGCATCATCTGTAGTCTCTGCATCCTGACCCCTGCGACTCTCCAAAGGAAAGGCCTGCGGGCTCGCTCTTAACCTTGCCTCCCCCCAGGATCCAGCGCAACAGGCCCAGGTGAAACCAGTTAAGGAGACATTCATGACAGGAATGCAGGTTAAGGTTTCTGTCTCCCGAGACAGTGACATCTCAAGACAGTCCCTCCTGCTTTCAACACCACCCAGGGGGCTGTTCTCAGTCACGCGCAGACCACAGTCACTGCACGCCGAGGCACAGCAGCAGGCTTCCATCGTACACAAGCACGACCTCCAAGACAGAGCGCACCCTCACGCCAGCCCAACGAGGAAGTGGCATTGTCCCGTTACACACATCAGGACAAGGGCTCAAAGACAGGAAGGCACCGCCCACAGGCACATGGCCTAGAAGGGGCAGAACCAAGCTTCACCCATGTGTGCCTGCCCGCAGAAGCTGTGGGTCGCTGGTGAGTTATTCCACTTCCTGGCAGCCCCGTGTCTTAAGAACAGTGTTTCCCGGTCTCGTGCCACCCTGGTAAGGGTTGGTGTGTGGGAGGTCATCGTCATGACCGCTGGGTTTCTCTCATCTCCCCTGGCCCTCTACTTTCCCAGACAGGATGTCCTTCTCCAGCGACCAGTCCCCCAGACGACATGTCCAAAGAGAGCCAAAGACGTGGACCATGTTCAATGAGCCTTCAGGTTGAAGGCTAGTTTGAGGGAGCTCACCAGGCCTCCCTTCCTAGTCTTAGTCTGGAAGCTCCTTTAAAACCTATCCAGATGGGTGACTCTGTTGGTATGAGATACTAGTGGCACAGTGTCCAGCATCACAGCATCATGCGGCCACCACGGGACAACTGACAGATGGGTCGTAGAAGCCAACCCTGCACGCACATTAAACAGAGCAGTACCCACAGCCTATTTCGGGTCACTTGCTGGTGGTCGTTGGTGGGAACTACAGCTGAAAATGCAGGAAGGGTGCGAAAGGAAGGAGCCTGCAGCCAGAAGAAAAAAATTACCGTATACCCTCGAGTATAAGCCGACCCGAATATCCACGGAGGCACCTAATTTTACTACAAAAACTGCATTAAAAATGTGCTGGAAAACTTGTCTTATACTAGAGTATATACGGTAATCCACATACAAATTTCCACAGGGACTCTAACACTCTCCCCAAAGGGGGATCTTGTTTCTTGAAGGCAGAAAATTTGCTCTCTAAACATCAGGTGCAAATATACAAGGGCGTATCAAAAAGTCTGTAGGAAAAGTCCATTATTTTTTTCATTCCTTTTTCTCACAAACTTCTTGAAGGCCCCTTGTATATACACAGTGCATAAGCAGACACAGAATTGTGATAGCTTCCAAATACGATTTTGTACATTACTGAACCCTAACCCTGTTTGCCAAAAGCAATGTTCTTTTCACACTGCTTTGAAATCACACTAACAGTTTGGGGGGTGGGGCATAATATTGTCTGAACTATCTTTCCCCGCCCTTTTACTTTCCAACTTTCTACGTCCTTGCATTTTAAGTTGACCTAGCTTAAGAAGCACATCTCTGGATGATTTTTATTTTTAATCCAGCTTAACGATGTCTTTCTTTATTTTGAGGGAGAAGGGGACCAGAAATTGAGTCCATTTCTGATATATTAGAATTTATTTCTACCATCATTTTTGTGCTTTTCCTCTGTTCCATTTTTCCCAAGTCTCATCTTCACTTTTGATGATGAAATGGCTAACAAGTGGAGCTTATCATATTAGAAGAGGGAAGGGGGGAGGGGAGAATAATACAGTCAGAGCATCCCCGTTTTACAGATTAGGAATGAAGACTTGGTGGTAAAAAGCTCTCCCAAGGTTAAAAAGCCAATGACACAGCCATGGGCCAAGCAGGCCAAGGACAGTGTCTAACACTGGGATGTGACACAGCGGCGGTCTTTTCTGGATCTCACAGTCACCCACCCAGGGCTTCATCTTCTCCTCGTGGAGGTAGAAAAGATAGTAATCCATTCAGACGGAGAAACCAAGAATGAGCCATTTAGTCATGAGGAACACCGAGTTTGAAATAAAAATGTGAAATCCCTAGGAAGTTCAAAGTTTAAAAACTAAGTTTTTAACAGACATTGGTGGGTAAAACTAGTGCATTAATAGGGGCTGAGGTAGCTGAATACTTTACTAGTCTAAACCCACCGTAGGCGGTTGATTCTGACACTTAAGGACCCTGAAAGGCCGCGGAGGACGACGCCCCGCATTTCCAAGGTCTTCTTTCGGAAGCCGATGACCTCATCTTTTTCCTGGTACGTTCAAATTGTGACCTTCCGGTTATCTGTCTGCTGCTAACCTCACTGTGCCACCTGGGCTTCTTTATCCAGTTAGGAAACCTTGCCCCCAAAGTATAATTCATTATACGACCATTCAAAAACTTCTAATAAAATGTTAAATACATTCAAGTCTTACAGTAGCTTATATATTTTTTTTTGTAATTGCCACCTTAGAAAAGTAAAGCAACAGAGATAGCATGCAGTAGCTATATCAAGGTCAGTTATTGTGCTATTGGGATTGCCTATCTTCCACGAGACCGATTTTCATAAAAGAGCTGAGCGCTAGGCAAAGCTGGGTGCACATCCCCAACCCGGTGGGGCCGCGTCCTCATCTCGTGTGCGTACCCGAGGCCTGCCCTTCCCCAGGCTTCTGCTTCTCCTGTCCCTGTAGCATCACCTCCCTGAGCCTCTAAGAATCAAACATGGTTCCTGGGTTTACTTCTAGGTCGGTTTTGGGGTTGGGGTTTGTTTTCACTTGTGGGGTTTCCAAGCGCAGACTCGTTTCTTTCATATCAGGAATCTAGAGCAGGGAAGACGTGAGTTGGAGGGCACCCCGAAGAGGCTGGAAAACATGCTCCCGGCAGGATCTTGGCCTCCTTGGAACCAAACAGGTGAAGAGGGTCTCGATCGTGCCCCAGGAAACGCACTGCTCAAACACCCGTTGTGAAGAATCCCACATCCTCTAAAACACCCAGAGAAGAGCAAAATGCTGCTGGAACTCCAATCCACGCGTTCCAGCTGCAGAGACAATTATTCCACTTCTTAATGCAATCATTCTGCCAATCTTGCGAGGGAAATCACGTTCCTTCTCAACAGCAGCCAATTTTGTATAGGCTCATTTGATTAGGAAGGATCTTAAGGATTACCATCTGGACTTACTTTTACCCCAAAGCCTTCACAGTGAAGAGCTTGAAGAATAAATTTATGGAAGAAAACAGAGGATAAGAATGGTGAGCTCTTTATTTTAAATGTCTCAGTGATCATTGTTATGGATGGAATAAATCAAAAGGCTCACAACCGTCCAGCCAATGCTGACTCAGCACCGCTGTGGGAGGGGTAGACCTGCCCCCGTGAAGTTTCCGAGACTGTGACTCTTAACAGGTGTCACGAGCCTCATCTTCCTACTGGAGAATAGGTGGCCTTGCGGCTAGCCGGCCAACTCAACCACTACACCACCGGGGCTCCTATAGCTGGCACACTGTCTAAAACAGCTATGTAAACACCCTAAACTCTACATGGGAACGCCATTTGGAAATAGGTTGGTTTGTTTGTTCCTTTGAGGATGTTCTCAGTACTCAGAGAAAAATGAGTCCCAATCCGCCCTGAAGTGGGTCCTCTTCAAGGAGAGGGCAGACACACAGAGAGAGAAAATACACCAGGAGGCACGTGAGAGACCAGGAAGGACTGTCCCCTAGAGTGGCCAGGAAAAGTGTGGCCCTGCTGATGGTTGAACTTGGCCTCCTGGCCTGCCGAACTGTGAAGACCGTAACTTTCTGTTCGTTAAGGCCACCCACTTGGTGACACTGTTTAGCACCACTAGGAAACTAAAACCGTCACGACTAAGTGTTCTCTCATCCATTCCAGGCTTCCCAAATTAGACCGCTTACTTCCTGGTTTGTAGCCCAGCATTCGTTCTTCTCAAGAAGCAAAGGGAAAAGACACCCAAAAGGAAATGCTACCTGTCACCTTACCTTCCCGGCAAGTAGCATCGCCATCTGAGACACTGCCAGGTGGCCAAGGAAGAGCCATGCCAGCCGCCTCTTCCCCCAGCCCATCCAGAAGCTCCATTCGAAGTCCGTCGGGTCCTAAACGGGCCAAAACAGAAGTTTATCAGAGGGCGTTTAGTATCTATCTGAAGCCGAAGGCAATCTCCATTGAATGCAATAGCCAGAGAGAAGAGGCCACCAAGAATCCATGCCCTGTAAGACGGCATTTACGCAACACTTCCAGCCTGTACTACACCCCCGCATCCCCCAGCCCTCACACCTTCTCCCCACCCAAGTCCAGCCTGGCTGGTCTCATGACCATTCCCAAATGTACTTCATACTTTGCAAGACTCAGTGTCTTTGTTACAGCCTATTCCCCATGGGATAGGACCTTTCGAAGAAATCTGTTCTTTTTTAAATAAAAGATGGCACTGAGGCTTCCAAGGAGTCAATCAAGCCCCAGATCACACAGACAGCACAAGGATTCGAGGGACGGGATCCCAGTTGAAAACAACCGGATGCTTTCACTAATGAAAACGGTGTAAACTGGACACTATTAAAACTGCTTGTAGTCAATTATGTCAAATATTGCTGTCATTTATGGGCAGCAAAATAACGCAGTAGAGAAATAACTACATAAGTTAATGCAAGCTTATAATTAAACAAGGAAAGGCCGATCTCCCTTGCCTCTGGAGGCTCTGTGTCTGTCAGTGCTAGGCTATGTGCATGGAGCTTCCGAGTTGGGGCCGGGGCTGGGGTGGCGTGGGGAGGTGCTAGTTAGGGACTCTTTCACAAGAGTGGATGGGTGCCTGACTGGGAAGCCACACCTGAAACCCGGGATGGCCTCAGAGATCCCTGGGAATGTCGCAGTGACTAAGCAGAGAATGAAAGGAATAAACAGCATGATGGGCCAACCTCAAATGGGAAATGCAGGCAAGCTCATCGTCGTTGGGGAGCGTCCAGTCAGCTGACACAGCAACCCGACACACCACCGAACAAAACACTGCCAGTCCTGCACCAGCCTCCCAATGGTCGCTATGTGTCAGCCCACTGGAGAAACACCGGGGCAACCCATCTCAGGAAGAATTGTGCCCTTTTTGCTGATGTCCTTTGTCAGAGGCTGGTCTCTCCTGATGGGGGAGTAGCTGTTAAGAGCCATCAGGTCAGTGCTGACTCACAGTGAGCCTGCACACAAAAGAACAGAACACCGCCCAGTCCCACGCGGTCCTCGCCATGGTTAGGTTTGAACCCTCTGTTGCAGCCACTGGATTCATCGATCTCGTCTAGGTTCTGCCTTCTCTTCGTTTCATTATTTTGTTCACTGCCCCTCTACTTCACCAAGCACGATGTCTCTCCTGATAACATGTCCAAAATACAAGAGATGAGTTCTCACCTTCCTCCCTCAGAAACACCCTGGAGGCACTTCCTCTGAGATAGATTTGTTTGTTCTTCGCAAGTCCAGGGTATCTTCAATCATATTCGCCAGCACTATAATGCATCAATTCTTCTACAGCCTTCTTATTTACTACCCAGCTTTCCCACGCAATGAGGAGACTGAAACTGCCCCAGCTTGGGGCAGGTCCCCTAGTCCTCAAAGGGACACCTTTGTCTTTAACACCTGAAAGAGGTCTTGTGCAGCAAATCTGTCCAGTGAAGACACTGCTTGGTTTCTTGACTGCTGCTCCCATGAGCAGTGATCGTGGCTCAAGGGAAAATGAAAGAATGAATGTCTTTCCAACCTCAGTATTTTCTCAGTTTACCAGGATGTTATCCGCTAGTTCCGCTGTGGGATGTTTGTTTTCTTTATGTTGAGTGGAAATGCAGACTGAAGGTTGCTGGCAGTCTTCCGTCTCCATCAGCAAGTGCCTTCCTCAAGTTCTCCTTTCTTTCCGAAAGAAGGCTTTCTCATTGTCCTGTTGAAGGTTGTTCGTGAGCCCTCCTCCAATCCCAATGTTGCATCATCCACAGCTTATCGTCTCAGATTGTTTGCTCAGCATAAATATTGAATAAGTATAGTAAAAGGCTGTAACTGACACACACCTTTCTTGGTTTTAAACCGTTCAATATTCCCTTTTAGTCTGAATGAACCCTCCTAGCCCATGCACAGGTTCAATATGAATACAAATAAGTGGTCAGCATGTCAGGTTCTTCACAATGCTATCCATAGTTTGTTATGATTCAGACAGTCGAATCCCCTTGCATTGTGGATAAAACACAACGTTACATCTTTCTATTATTCTCTGCTTTCAGCTTCATTTCTAACACAAAAGCCATATTTTCACACAAAATCCACCCGACATCAGCACTGAGATTCCACATGTCATGTCCTCTTCTGAATCTGGCTTGAATTTTTTCTGGCAGTGCACTTATGGAAGTATTTTTAAATTATCTTCAGCCAAATTTTACTAATATTATTCAACAATTTCCTCATTTTGATGGGTCACCTTTCTTTGGAATGGACACAAATATGAATCTTTTCTGGTTTGTCAAGGAACTGTCCTCCAAATCTCTTGGAATAGAAATTTGAGTGAGTGTTCCCATTAGTGTATCCATTAACTGAAACATTTCAATTGGTATTCTATCAATTCTCAATGCCTTCTTTCAACACAATCCATCTTTGCTCAGAAGCCACCTCTTGAAGCCAACTGTTTTTGGTACAATAACTTGGTGTACTCCTTTCAGCTTCTTTTGATGTTGACTGTGTCATTCAATATTTCTCCCATTATATCCACACACTGAATTTGCTTCGGTTATTTGAACTTAGATAAGCTGAGCATGTTCTTCCCTTTTGGTTTTCTAACTCCAGGTCTTTGCAGACATTTCATTTTAATGCTTGACTTTGTTGTCTCAATTTGCCCACGGAAAGTTTTGTTCAGCTCTTTGACTTCATCACATCTTATATTTGCTTTAGCTACTATGTGTTCAAACTCACGTTCCAAAGTCTCCTCTAGCATTCACTTTGGTGTTTTCTTTCTTTACTTTATAATGACCTTTGGCCTTCTTCATGTACCACATTCTTGATGTCATCCCATAACTTGTCAACTCAATGGTCATTAGTGTCCAAGGCATCAACTTTGCTCTTCAGATGGTCTCTAAATTCAGCTGAGATACTCAGGGTCTTATTTTGGCTCTCTTGGACTTTTTACAACTTTCTTCACCTTTAACTTGAACTTACATATGAACAATTCATGTTCTGCTACATAATCAGTCTCTGGACTCTTTTTGGCTGATATTGAACATTCCATTTTTTTCCCCACACATCTGTAGTCAATTCTTGTACATTACATCTGGTAAGGTCCATGTGTATACCTGCCATTTATGTTGTTTAAAAAAAACATATTTACAATGAAGAAGTCATTGTTCTTGCTAAATTCTAAATGCAATTTTCAGCCTCATTTCTAACAACAAAGCCGTGTTTTGGTCCTTCCTATTTCCAACAAATTCCAGTAGCCAATAATCATCAGTGCATGTGTATGATCAATGTATGATCAACTTCAGACTGAAGGAGTGCATAAAATTAATTCTTCAATTTCTTCATCATTGGCATAAATAGTGGTTGATGGCAATGTTTAAATAATATTAGGAAGTCTTAGTGCAGGGGTCCTCAAACTTTTTAAACAGGGGCCAGTTCACCGTCTGAGGACCGTTGGAGGACCGGACTATAGTTTAAAAAAAAAAAAAAACTATGAACAAATTGCTATGCACACTGCACTTATCTTATTTTGAAGTAAAAAAACAAAAGGGGCAAAAACACCCGGAGGGTCGGATAAATGTCCTCAGCAGGCCGCATGTGGCCCGCGGGTCATAGTTTGAGGACCCCTGCCTTAGCGGCCCTCAAATTTTTGGCCAAATTGTGTAACTTGAGAGGGAACCCTCCAATGAGTACTGATATGAAAATCTTGTCATTCTCCATAAGTACAACTTATAGGCAAATTTAATTGAATTCAGAGGAAAAAAACTGATTTTCTGAGACAGGAGGTGCAGAGAGGGGCACAGGGGGAGGATGCTGTGTGTAAAACAGTACCTGAAGATTGGGGGACAATTCCAAGCCATTGCATATATCATAAAACTTTTTCCAGAAAGTAAAATATAAAGTTGATCTCGATTCATACCTGATTATGAATTCAGAAGTTGAAACACAGCCTCTAAGACCACAGACACTGATTGGGTTTGGATCACAGATGACCCACATATGGGCTATGATCACCGTGAGCTCAGTACTTAACCTTCTGCTCTGTTTTCTCATTTGATAACAATAGTTACCATTTAGGGATTTATAAGGTTCCAAGGAGAGCCTCTGTATTTCTAGAGTACCCAATACATTGTTGTTGTTGTTGCTGTAGTTGTTAGTTGCCACCAAATCCATTCCAACTCATGGTGACTCCATGTGTGCAGAGTGACCTGCTCCAGGGGTCCTCAGCACTGTGGCCTTTTTGAAATAGATCATAGGCCTGGCCTGTCTTCCATGGTATGTTAGTGGGTTCAAACCAAGAACTTTTCAGCTAGTAATTGAATGCTTGATCATTGTGACACTGATGGAAATCTCCCCTATGTACCATGTATACTCGTGTATAAGCCAACTTTTTCAGCACATTTTTTATGCAGTTTTTGTGGAAAACTTAGGTGCCTCGGCTTACATTTGGATTGGCTTATACTCGAGTATATACGGTAGTACTGAAATCAAACCCACTGCCATTGAGTTGATTCCAACTCATAGGACCCCTACATAGGGTTTCCAGAATTTCAGCTCTTTGGGGGAGCAGTTAATTTCATCATTCTCCCAGAGAGTGACTGGTACCTTTGAACCACCCACCTTGCTGTTAGCAACCCAGCAACGGTACCACATGTTACCTGCTACCTGCTAGTCTCATTGCTTAAGTGCTAGTCAAAATTTTATGTTTTACTTTTGTCACTTTTCTTTTAAAAAGTAAGATTTCCTTTTTCCACTTTCTAAAAATAACACTGCACATTCTCAAATCCTCAGATCACACATGCTCCCTGTTCCCAAGATCCAGGACTCAATCTGTTCCAAGAGGCCCCACCTCCAGCTGAAATAGATCTGGTCCAACTCCATCCACTTACAGACAACACACATCAGC